GTTGATAGGAAGGCAACTGTAACTCAAATAACCACTTGTTACAATCACGTTGTGCAGATGAACATCAGTAAACGCACAATGCCTTGAAGCAAATGGGCTACAGCAGCAGAAGACCACACTGGGTGCTACTCCTGTTAGCCAGGAACAAGATTCAAGGTTTCAGCTGCAATATTCACAGGATAGGTTCAGAATCTGGTATAAACAACATGAAAGCACAGATCCATCCTGCCTTCAGTGGTTAAGGTTAAGGTGTAATGGTGTGATGGATGTCTTCTGGGCACACAACTGAGCTTAATTTAAACACCACAGCCTACCTGAGCATTACTGCTGCCAGTGCATCCACCCTTTTATGACCACACTGTATCGATCTTCTGATGGCTGCTTCCAGTTAGGTAATACACCATGTCACAAAGCTTAAATCATCTCAAGCAGCTTCTTGAACATGACAGTGAGTTCACTAAAATTGCCTCCACTGTAACCCGATCTCCATCCAATAAGCACATTTCATATGTGTTGTCTATTAAAAGGGGAGCAAGACGTCACTAGCGAGATATAGCTAATGAAGTAGTAGGTAACTGCATGTCTTCCTGAGAAACCAGCATGTACGGTAAAGTGAAACTGATGCTTGTTTGGTAAATACTTGGCTGAAACTCAAATTGAAAGCGAAAACCACAAAGCTCACATTTAATGCCGCCATTTGCAACAATGATGTTCAAGTTTGACTTTAAAAAAAGTTTTCATTCAAGTAAAATTTCAGTACAGTACTTATTTTGATCATTTCCAAACCAACCTTTAACCCCCACTCCCCCACCCCACAATGGTTCACTCCAAGAGTACAAGAGTAAAGACACTTCAATAGTTTGCACCTCTGACACTTGAGTGTGTCACTAGTGTAGCACAAAGTTCCTATGGCAACGACTGACATCACTTTGTACTGTCTCTAATTAATCCAGCTTGTCTCCGTGAAAGATCTCTGACACGATCAAAAGCACTGAACTAACATGTCTTCATATATACACAGCCAAAAACACAAATATACACACATACACATCCACTGATTCTGCTTACCTGCATTTATACATCCTCCTTTGCTTATTTTCACTGTTTCACTCTAACATGCATTGCATGAATGTTGCCTGTTTCCCTTCAGGTCAAATTTGACAGAGGGCTGGTTTATGTTAGAATGATTTCCCCGAGCAAAAATAGACCTGCAGATCAATAAACATTGGCTACAGATTTTTGTCTTTGATGTTTGTGCACTTGTGTGTGT